CCCCCCCCCCCCAGGCTTTCATCCCGGCCTTTCATCTCCAGTCGTCCTGGCAACACCCTCAAAGGGTCCGGGGGGGTTGCCATGGCACCCAGGGATGCTCTGAACCCGAGCCAAGGACCCCGCAGCCCCCCCGGGGCTCTGTCCCACCTCAGCCCCTCAGCTCCCTGGGGTGCCCTGCGCCAAGGGGGTGGCAGCGCCAGGAGCAGAGGTGCCCACAGCTGTGCCATGGCCATTGGGGAGGTAAGACCCTGCCAACAGCCCCCCCACCCCAGAGCCACAGCCCTGGGGTCCCTCCCTGCCGTGGGGGGTGGGTGAGCATCCCCCTAATTCGTGGGGACCCCCCCAGTCTGTCACCTCAGCGCCCTCTCGCACTGGCACGGGGGTCCCTGTGTGCCCCCACCTCCATCCCCGTAACCCCCTGTGAGCCCCCCCATCTCTCCTGCCCCGATGCCAGGACGCTCCATCACCACAATGCCCGGGTGCTGAGGGTCCCATCCCCGTGGCCCCCTGTCCCCAGGGCCCCCTGTTTCCGTGGCACTCCATCCCCAAGGGACCCTCCCCTGAGGTACCCCCTCCCCACGGTACCCAGTCCCTGGAGGACCCCCCTCCCCGAGGGCCCCGATGCCTAAAGCCCCCCGTCCCCCAGTCCTGGCAGTGCCCACGGGGTGACCCCCTGCCCCCCCTGTGTCCCCCTGTGCCCCCCTGTGCCCCCCAGGACCTGCGCAGCGGCCGCCTCTGGCGGGGGGTGCTGGCGGAGGCCGTGGGGACCCTCATCTTCGTGGGGGTGGTCCTGGGGGCCTCGGTGGGCCCCGAGCCCCTGGCGCCGGCGCTGGCCGGGGGGCTGGCGGCCGGGGGGCTGCTCCTGGCCCTGGGGGGGCCGCAGGCCAACCCCGCGCTCACGCTGGCCCTGCTGGGCACCCGCAAGCTCGGGGCCCTGCGCGGGGCCCTGGTGATCCTGGCACAGTGCGCGGGGGCTTCGCTCGCCGCCGCCGCTGCCCACGCCACGCTGCCGGACGGCACCGGCCTGGTGCCCAGGGTGAGTGACCCCCATCCCTGGTGCCCAGGGTGAGTGACCCCCATCCCTGGTCCCTAGGGTGAGTGTCCCTGGTGCCCAGGGTGAGTGTCCCCCATCCCTGGTGCCCAGGGTGAGTGTCCCCAGCCCCGTGCCCATCCCGGGGTGCTCAGGATGGGGGCACAGGTGTCCCTCCCTCAGGTGGGGTCGGCGGGGCCGGCACTGGCCTGGGAGACCTTCGCCACCTTCCAGCTGGCACTGGCCGCCTTCGGCACGGCCGAGCGCTCGGCCCCGCAGGCCGGGCTGGCCCTGGGCAGCGCCGTGGCCGCTGGCGCCCTGGCCGCGGTAAGGACCCCCCCCAGAGTGTCCCCCCCCAGCCACGGGGGTCCCCACCCTGTCAGCCCCTGACCGTCCGCCCCACAGGGGCCGTTCTCGGGGGGCTGCATGAACCCCGCCCGCGCGCTGGGGCCCGCCATCGTCACCGGGGTCTGGGACCACCACTGGGTGAGTCGGGGGGGTCACCTCAGAGACCCCCGGGGTGGGGGTGGGTCCCCCAGATGCAGAGTGGGAACCCCCTGCGGTCCCGTCCTGTTCCCAGGTCTGCCCTTCTCTTTGGGGGATCTCCCTGGGACGGGTCAGCCTCGTCTCGGTCCCCGTCACTGGTGTGGGGTCCCTGGTCCCCCCATCCCCTGAGCAGCCCCTCCCCCTGTGCCCCCCCCAACTCCCTGGGCCCCCCCAACGCTCTGTGCCCCCCCAGGTGTACTGGCTGGGGCCGGTGCTGGGCGCGGTGCTGGCCGGGCTCTCCTACGAGTTCGTCCTGGCCCCCGGAGCCTCCCGGGAGAAGTTGGGCGCCTGCCTCGCCTGCCGGGACGTGGCGCTGGTGGAGACCCCCAGCCCGTCCCCTTCCTCGCCCTCTGCCCGCGGCCCCCCGGCCCCCCCGGCCCAGCGGGACCAGGGCACGGCCTGAGCCCCCCGGGCCCCCCTCTGCGACCCACCCCAGCGACCCTCCACACCCTGACGCCGTCTCCTCGCAGAGCCCAGAACCTTCCGTGGGGGGCAGCCGGGGCTCGGCGTCCCACCGGGCGGATGAGGGGTCTCTGCATGATGGCTCCGGCCCCCCCCCGACCTTTTACTGCCCTCTCTGCCCCCCGGGGGGATTAAAGGTGCTTGGGGGTCGCAGGTGGGCGCGGAGTGATGCTGTGAGGGGCGGGGGGGTCCCGACCACCCCCCTGGGACCACGAGGGCACCGCGGCGAGGCCGGGGCTGCCGGCGGGTGGGTGCCCCCTCCCCGTGGCCCCCCGGCGAGGGCGGGGGCCGGGACCCCCCGTCGGCCCCGTCCCGTGCCGGGGCGCTGAGCACAGCAAAGCCCTTTGTGGTGGCCTCTGCAGCCCCGGCAGATTCCGGCGGGCGCCAATGGCCGGGCCGGGCCCTAATCCCCCCGGCCGGGGACTCAGCGCCCGCTAAGCCGGGCTGAATAAACCCTCCCGCAGACAACAGCGCCGGGGGGGCGCGGCCCCCGCAGCCCCCAGCGGGGCCGAACCGGGGGGGGGGCCCACCCAGGACCCCCCCTGCGGGTGGGGGAGGCTCCCAATGGGGTTGCCCCAAAGTGTCCCCAAAGCACTGGAGGGGGGGTTGGAGGTGCCTCGGCGCTGCCCCGGGCATGGGGGTCCCCCAAACCACACAGAGGGCACCTGTGGGTCACAGCCCCCCCCAACCACCCCAGGCAACCCCAGGGATGGGGGGGCACAGCCCTGGGGGGGGGTCCCCGCTATCAGGGGGTGCCACGGGGCTGTCCCGGGGGGGCTCATGGGGGGTTCCTTGCTGCGTGTCACCCGTCCCCCGCCCCGGGCAGCGAAGCGGTTAAGGGGGGGTGGCAGAGGTGGGATCCCACCCCCGGGGCCGGCCCGGGGGGGCCTTATAAAGGTGGGCACGGGCGGCCCCCGGGGAGGGGAGCGGGGCCGTGGAGGGCAGCGGGGCCAGGCCATGCGGGAGCTGCGCTCGTCCTCCTTCTGGAGGGCCGTCCTGGCCGAGTTCCTGGGCAGCTTCCTCTATGCCCTGCTGGGGCTGGGGGCCTCCCTGCGCTGGGCCCCGGGCCCCCCCAGCGTCGTGGGGTCCGCCCTGGCCTTCGGGCTGGCCCAGGCCACCCTGGTGCAGGCGCTGGGCCATGTCAGCGGCGGCCACGTCAACCCGGCCGTCACGCTGGCCTTCATGCTGGCCTCGCAGCTCTCCGTGGCCCGCACCGTGGGCTTCCTGCTGGCCCAGGTGCTGGGCGCGCTGGCCGGGGCTGGGGTGCTCTACGGGGTGACCCCGGCCCCCGTCCGCGGCACCCTCGGCCTCAACGCGGTGAGCGGGGGGGGCACCGGGGGTTCGGGGGCACCGGGGGGTGTCTGCGGGGCTGGGGGACTGTGGGGCAGGGAGGGGGGGGGGGGGTGGGGTTGTACTGGGGGGTTGGGGGGTTCAGATGGGTTGGGGGGGGGGGGCAGATTGGAGATTGAGGGGGGTCCGGGAGGTGTTTTGGGGTACCATGGGGCTGTGATGGGGAGTTGAGGTGTTCAGAGGTGATTGGGGGGTCCAAGAGGTGTTTTTGGGTTTGGGGTGGTGTGGCACATTAAGGGGGGCTGGGTGTCTGGGAGGGGTTTGGGGCGAGAAGGGATTTGGGGTACAGTGGGGTTGGGGGGTGTGGAGGGATAACGAGGGGGGCTTTGGGGCGCTGGGGGGATCGGGGAAGCATCTCTGCAGGATGTTTAGCCCCCCCTCCCCGTGTAGCTTCACCCCGGCGTGGGCCCGGGCCAGGGCACGGTGGTGGAGGTGCTCCTGACAGCCCAGTTCGTCCTCTGCGTCTTCGCCAGCTTCGACGACCGGCACGACGGGCGCCCGGCCATGGCCGCCGTGCCCGTCGGCTTCTCCCTCGCCCTCGGCCACCTCTTCGGGGTAAGGGCGGCCGCGGGGACCCCCCTGCCCGGACCCCGGGGGTGCTGAGCGAGACCCGGGGGGCTGCCGTCCAGCCCCCCAGCGCCCCGTTCTCCCGCAGATCCACTACACGGGCGCCGGCATGAACCCCGCTCGCTCCTTCGCCCCCGCCGTCATCACCCGCGACTTCACCAACCACTGGGTAAGTGGGGGGGGACGGGGACCCCCAGACCCGCCCCGGGCCCCTCCAGTCCCTCCCTGCTTGTCCCCACCTCGCCCCAGCCACCG